CAGTATTTAATTGCTTCAAATACTTCTAAAAGAATGAAAATAACTCCCCCACCCCCGATTGACAAGGCAGGCACTAGGCTACAGAGGCTCTCCTTTCCCTGCTTCTTACATCCTTCTTTTGGTTTGGGGCAGTTATCTGTCCATTGAAGTAAATGCTACTTTCCAGAAATCACAACACACTGAATAATTTCTCAGTTGTGGCACAGCCAGCTGATTTGTAATGCTGTCTGTTCATACTCATTTCAAATGACTGTTAAAACAGAGCACTGCACACCCACATCTCTACCGTATTCCTTCAGCAGTACTTAAATCAGTTCCCCAGAAATCACTGTTCTCTTCACTGAAGAGTTGCTGCTCCGGTGTGCACAGAGAAAGTCAGTCCTGTGCCACAGAAATAGCTGAAATACTGGCATTCACTTCAGCGAAGTCTGTTTATAACTGAGAGAAGTATAGCGTCCACAGCTCGGATCTCGACTAGCCATCTCTGCTTGTAAAAGTTGTCATCACTTCTTTCCACAACAGAGAGCAACACGGAGCAAGGCTCTGCATATGGATGTGCATATGTACATGGTATTGCACTTGTCTCCATTTAAAAATGAGTTTGAGGGTGAAGGAATATTTCCTCCCAATGATATTGTTGCTCTCTTAGAAACTGTATCTGAACTAATGTGCCAAAAAACCTCAATAATTTTATACAAATGAAGCCTAGCAAATACTGTACCTTCCTGTAATGTGTATGCCTAAAAGAAGACTAAATGATGATGATTTCACTGTGTCAGGAGACGTAATTGTACTACTAGACCTTAAAATAGCAGCAAATCTAGCTCTAGAAGGGGATGCTAAGAGTAACTGTAATCAATGTACAATGAGGATAAGGGTGTATTCATTATAAAAATGAATATTTGAGTTGTGAGAAGTTTGAACTAATTTGTGTGTGTGTAAGCGTAGGTACAACTTGTAGCCCACAGTCATTTTGTTTATAGTCCAGAGCGTGTGTTTGGATTTGGTTCCATATTCTGCAACAGAATAACCACTCTTTCTGAAAGCTGGTGGGGCTGGGGAAGGGGAAAGCAAACTCAATATGCAACAAGAAAGATTTAGCCTCTGCAGAAACGCTGGATTGTACTAGACAGTGTAATCAATGAAAGGATTTAGGAGAAAGAGCCTACGGAGCTCTTTAAAGCACAAAAAAGGGACATTTATCTGCATTATGTCCCTTGCTGCAGTTCACATTTTCAGCTGGCTCAGTGTCAATAGCAGCTTATGATTCTGTTAGCTTTACACAGGGAGAAATCATACCTAGATGATAGATGTCACTTGCGGATTTTTCTTCGTCTTTTTTCCCATGCACTCAGTCTGCAGTGTATTAGCACGTTATTCTCCTGTAATATTGAATATTCTGCTTATGGCATTAAACTGAGGTGAACAAATGGATGGCATGAACTCAATGAAAGAAAAAATTGCCTGATTTTAATGACTGAGGTACAGTGGGATACGTCAGACTGGTAACTCCTAGAATAGCAGATGACACTCTTCTGTCATGGAATGGTGTGATTTCAGAAACGGGTTTTAGAGGGGAGGTATTTGGTATTCTGTGTTTTTAGCAGGTTGGCCTTTCCTATAGGTACGCAAACTAAGTAGATAAGCTTCGCAAGCATAGGATTCAAATGATGTTTTCTTTGTTTACCTTTCCACATTCATGCCCCTCAACCTGAGTTCTTGTTGAGCAGAGGAACCTGAAGTTAAATTATGCTGAAGCACATGCTTGCTGTGCCAGTCACATTTCTGTAATGTAAATACAGACAGATAACTTACGAAAGATCAGACAGGGAAGGGTTTGTGTACTGTGGGTATTGCACTAAGCAGTGCAGGTGGTGTTCACCTAGTCTAGGCCTGTTTGAGGTAACTGTTTGTTAATTGCCCATGACTGGATGTTATTGTCTGGCGATCTTTCCAGGTACTGTCTGAAATTAACTCTATTTACTATTTTGACTTACATCAGGGAAACATATCGATAGATGGTCATTTTAAAAGTTAACAGTGACAATACAGCAATGTGCTCTGTGTTCGAAGTCTCAAATTTGTTCAACTTCTTCAGGGAAATTAAGGAGAAGAGTTTGAGAGTGTGGCATAGGACTGCAAGCATACCTAATATCGCTGGTACTGTGCTTTGTACCCGAAGAGCAAGTTTCCACTCCTTTTCTCTTTCCTTCACCCCCCAACAAAAAGAAACACATTATGAGGATGACCAAAGACAAGATCAGACTGCGCTGCCATTCTCCATCCTGTTCAGTGGAGTGGAGCTGCTGTGTCCCCTGTGCCCTACCAAGGTTTACTCCTTTCCATGATGAGTAGTCATCTCAATTCTACAACCTGATCCTAAGAGTCTGTTGTGGGGAAAACGAGTAGAAAGTGACTTTATGGACTTCCTGCCTGTCTCTTTAATACCACTGGATACTTCAGAGAAGGGTTCAGTCCTTCTATCAACAGCAATTAAATTTCTTCAGACATTCAATAATATGTGGGAAATCATGAATATAAAAATTGTCAATAATATATAAGAAATACCTGCCCTCAGGCTGATAGAAGTATGGAGTCTTCAGTTGCTGATCATTATAGCAACAAGAATGTTTGTAGAATAGTGGCATGCAAGAGGACTGTGCTGGTTTGTAAAGTGGTTGGAAAATACCCCAAGAGTTAAGTCTCCAGTGCTGATTACATGTATTTGCTCAAGGTGATTTTTAGCGATCTCTGTTTTCACATGTTTCAGCAACAGTGTGAGAATAGTCTAGTTGCAGGGACTTCTGCAAAGGATTTAAAAAAAAATAAAAAAAATCTTAAATATGTCTTAAGGACTTGTTTCAAAATATAAATCACTTTTTGTCCTTTTGCAGGCATGCTCATCATGCTCCTTATCCAAATTCTGGGGACTTGAACTTATTCCTTTAAGCAGTAATCTGTTCTATTTTCTACTGAATTTGCTTCTCATAGAGTGAGTTTATCAACTTAAGGAAGGCCTTTGTATAGTTTTGGTTTTGTCTTTATGTACGCAACCCGTAAAGAACATAGCTGGGCAACTACTGTGTACTTTGCCAGCAGGCACTGCAAATGTTGGAGCCTCTCTTCGGTTCTGATGCTATTTCTCAGACTTAAGCTTCTTGCAGCAATGACTGGCTTCATTGCTGATTCATGTGGAGATGTAGCAGTCTGTTTTGTAGTGCTGACTTGAAATTGAAGCTATAATACAGACCGGACACAGTTTCCCATAAGAAAAATAAATAAAACATCTTTCTTCCTTTCCAGGCACTATTTAAAAAAAAATAAAATCAAGGTAAATCTCTGTAAAGTTATTATAAGATCCATTAAAGACAGCAGCTTTGTTTGAATTGGCTAGAGCGCATCTTCATTAGCTCTGCTATCTGTTGTTCTTAGGTATGACTTTTTTTTCCAGCTGACAGAAGTCCTAAGCTTAAACACAAATCAGAAAAGGATTTGCACTCCAATTACGGTTTGTTAGTATTCAAGTTGATATAATCATACTGCAGAATTCAGGACCAAAGGTGGCATACATCTACTGAGTGGCTGCAGAGATCTGCTCCAAGTCCAGGTGTTTCTTCAAGTTCAGTGAGCTGGAAGGTTAAAAATTCCCTACATGTTTTCCCTTGATGTTTTTGCTCCATATCCAAGCACCAAGTCTGAGACAACACTATGGAGAGCATCCAGAGAAATTTGGAAGAGCAGCTTTTCCCTCTCTGAAACTCTGAACCCAGCTATTGCTTGTGGACTGCTGTTGTGCCTTTATTGGCCTTTTTGGCTCCACCTTAAGGTGGGAGCAAGCACAGGAGCACTGGCCCACTATGACAGTGGGCTTTGAGGTGCTGTTGCATCACTGCTATGGAGCCTGGAGCCGTGACACAACACACAAACATGCTGAAGTGTGCTCATCTCCATTTCTGCAAACCATGCAGATCTTTACATCTTAAGTAGCCATGACAGCAGGAGCTGGTCTCTGTTCCATGTCTTAATGAAAATATTAACATGACGATTCATAGTCCATTTTATCAGTCACTGCTCGGGGGTGGAGTGTGTCTGTGTCAGGGGGAACTTAACAATAAAACAGGTTTTCCTCTTAGTAGACTATGTTTAAGTTGACTATGCAATGGCTTTTCTGATTCATCTCCTTGGATAAGACTTTCAAAATCCTACTTTTAAAAGTACCCATACTATTAATGCCTTCTGAAAACTGTACTGGGCAGGGGAGCTGTTAAAAGAAGGAAGCAACTTCATTGATGTGGTGTTGTACTTGGCTTTTCACCAAAATGTAAGGTATATGCACACCAGGTGACAGTTCAGCTCCTTTCCCATGCCACAGGTTGAAAACGGCCCAGGAAAGGTTCAATACATGAATAAAACAGATTCATGTTTTATGAGCTGTGAGTGACTGCAGGATGATGGACAGCTCTTCCAAGTGAGTCTTCTAGAATTCACTGTAAATTTTGATATTGTCTTAAGTATAGAGCAACATACAGAATCTGAGGATAGGGGTGTATTAATCTTCTTAAAAGTGGTTGAAACTTCATGTAGCTCAGATGACTTCCTATTTAACTTGCATAGGCCTTGAGAATGGTAAAATCGGTCTAATTCCTGGAGTTCAGGAATCAGTTAAATTAGTCTGTCAATACGCATCATAAAATCTGTCTTATTCATGTATTGAACCTTTCCTGGGCCCTTTTCAACCTGTGGAATGGGAAAGGAGCTGAACTGTCACCTGGTGTGCATATACCTTAAATGAAGGCAGAATCACATTGTCCTCTCAGTTATGATGGGGCTTTAATGTTTTCCAATTATATCTTCTTACTAACATTGTTTTCCCCTCTTTTTCGATGATAGTCCTTAGTTTCTAATGTACCCACTGCATAGATTCCCAGGTAAGTTTGTGGATTTAGTTTAGTTTCCATGCTGAATTAGATGGATCTCCCTGGACTGTAGCTAGAACACACCTGCAAAGATTTTCACCATCTGAACTTCGTAGTCCCTCTGTTGTTGTGACAATTTGTCTCCCATGGTATCCAGAATTTTTCACTTGTGATGATAAAGAGCTTCAGTTGAAGGCTCCAGCTGGTTCCTCTTGTCAAGTTCATAGCATAGGCAATGCACTTAACCCAGCTATTAAACTATTATATTTGGAAAACAGTTTTGCTGAATGAAATAATAGCAATGCTTCAACCCTCGATTAGGCCACTATGTTGTAATGTTTCTGCTAATCAGGCTCTCTTGGGCCAGCCTCACTGTGTCTTTTATCTTTTATATTAAACTAGGACATAGTGTGGTGTCGAGGACTGATGGTTATAGTCAGGCTTTGTCAGGTTTAAGATGTCTCTGTCTTGGTGGTTACAGAGAAATGCGACCAGGGAGAAGCATGTGGAGATTGGTAGCAATCCCCATAGTTAAATAAGGCAGACAGCAGCTGCTGGTCTAGGCTTTTGTGTCGTGGCTGATGTGTTTTTTCAGCATCTGCTATTGAGTCTGGTTTAATCATTGGACCAGATCATGTGTTTGAAATGGTAAACTGGAGCTTTCAGCAACTTGATCCACGTAAAGTATAAAGTTCATGCCTGGGTTTTGTTGTGAAACTAGCCCCTTCTTTGTCTGGCTTTCTTCTTGGATGTTACTAACTGGAAAAATTGTTTGTCAGCTATTACCTTGGCATTAATGAGATGTAAGGATAGGGCCTCAGTGTAATGGGAGATGCTGTTTATTATTGTACAGAGAGTCTGATATTCTGCTAAGTTGTTCTTGAACAGATTAATTGTATCCATGCTCCTTTTCTCAAAGGGAATGAGAATAATAAGTGGGATTAGAGGGATTCAGGGAACTTTTCTAAAGCCAACCATTGGCAGTTGAGACTGTACAGGGAGAAACTCTATATATCCTTGTAAAACACTATACTGCTGAAGTAGATGGGGCTTGTTTCATCTCCTGGCCTCGGCAGTGTAAATGTTGTGGTTTTTCATGTGTTCTTGTGATTTCTGTGATTTGAGAAGCACTGTCTTTTGGATCCTTTTTGGCTGTCAGCAAGAAGTCAGAGCTAAGGACTTGCCCAGTCATCTTTACTGTTCTGGAATTTCCACTGGAAGGTCCTAGTGGATCAATGCTCTCTGTGCTAGGGCTTCTTTTTCTTCATTCTACCTGAGACGTTATCTCTGCTATGAATAGGTTTGGGATCTTGTCCCTGGCCCTTATATCACTGGCTTCTGCGTCTATTATGACTGAGGAGGATTTTTTCCCTTGTGTTATAAGTATCCATGGAATTCGTGTCATACAGAATCAGGGGAGAAAATTGTACTGGGAGGAACCTCTGAAAGTCTCTAGTCACGGGACCACTCTGCAAATAACTTTATCAAATATACAAGCCTGAGAAGGACACATGGGCACAACTTACAACAACAGCAAATGTTAAAGCCAAAATAAAATAACCCCTCTGTGTGTGTATGCATACACACCTGCATGTGGAATCATCTAAACTTCTCATCTCCAAGGTGAGAAATTTTGATGAGCAAATAGATTTTTCCCTTACCCACATCTTTGCTGCTTGCATAGCCCTGACTATAAATAGTCCCTTAGGCAAACGGCTTCTGAAGCCTTGGGAGGAGGAGGAGGGTCTTGAAAAGGGGAAGGAAGTTCCTTTAGAAAACATCAAGAGACAAAGATAGATGTCCAGATACTTGGACACAACAGGTATTTACACTGCTGGCTGAACTTACAGACCTACTCTGTCACGCATATCCATTTGCTGATATGTGTGCCTACATCTGTCACACTCCCGTTTCATGCAGAGAATATGTACTGGAGAGTACAAACGTTCAGAGGTTCCCCCTGTCCAAAAAAGACCAGTATTTGCTCACCCTGTTAAAAGCAAACAAACAAACCCAACACAGACTCAGAGAGGAACGCAGATTGGTAGGGACCTCTGAAAGCCTCTGGTCAAGCCCCCGCTCAAAGCATGGCTACCTTGAAAGCTCGATCAAGTGGCACAGGACCTCTTCCCGTGAAGTCTTGAGTGCCTCCAGCGATGGAGATTCTGCAGCCTCTGTTGGGACAGCCTGACCCAGGCATTAACCACCTCATTGGGAAGCATTTCTCGTAATACCCAGAGAACTCTGCCCTTGCTACAACTTGTCGGCTCCTGTCCTTTTGTGGTATACACCTCTGAGAAGAGTCTGCCTCGGTCTGCTCTATGGCCCCTGGGTGGGTGTTTGAAGAAAAAAATTCCACCCCATTAGTCTGCTCTTTTCCGTGCTGACCCGCCTTTGTGGCCCTGCTCTAGACTTTCTCCAGGGTGTCGACATTGCCCTTGTTCTGCGGGGGGTGGGGGGGCCCCAAACTGGTATTCCAGATGAAGCCTCCTGAGCTGCTGAGCAGAGGGCAACAGTCCCTTCTCCGTACTTGGCAGCTATGCTCTTGCTCAGGGTGTGGTCGGCCTTCAGCACTGCAAAGGCACGCTCCTGACTCATACTCTCCTTCTTGCCCACTGGGACGCAACCTCTTCTCAGCGAGGCTGCCACTGGCCTGCCAGCCCCAGGCTGTGCCTTGAGCTTTCCGAGGTTCCTGGCAGGCCATCCCTCCAGCTTGCCAGGGGCCTTCTGAATGACAGGGAGGAACCTGTGTCCGGGGTCCCTCTGAAGCACTGTGACCTTCCAGCATGTCAACAGCTCCCTCCAAGTTGGCGTCAGGTACCTGAGAACCTCCTGAGGGCTGACTTTGTCCCATTGATTAGGTTGCTGCTGAAGATGTTAAGTAGTGCCAGCCCCAGAAGTGACTTACGAGGAACGCCACTTATGAGGAACACCAGTCAGTAGGACTTTGAACCGTTGGCCAATAGCCTTTGAGCCCAATGGTCCAGACAGCTTTTCAGCCACCTTGGGTACTTCCCTGGCCATCATCGGCCAGTGGATCTCCTGGCACTGTTTTCTCTAAGATCTTTAGTGGGTACCACCTTTTTCTCTGTAGCTTTTAGATTTAGTATTATGGTAACAGGGCATTTTTGGGAGGAATTTTCTGATGCACCGGACTCTACCTAGACCAGAAGCCTGATTATGGGTTCACCTTGATGATAAGATGATTATGATCAATTGTTGTCTTTTACTTTGAACCTAGTCTCACACATCTGATGGTAGGTAAGAGCAAATAAATGTGTGTGTTTAGGAAACTCAAAATAGCACAACTGTAAAGCTGGGAGAGATGACTAAACAGAAAAGAAATGAAAATTATGCCTGTATTTAACTCACATTTAGCACCCCAATTTCCTTTTATAGCACACAGCTATATATGAAAGCCATTTGGACTTACTGGTTCTTATCGTAATCAAGGAGCAGTTTTTACCTTTCTGCTAGGTTATGTTCATAAGTTTTGGAAATACATAAGTCCCTTTGGTATGGCCAGATACAGTTATTACTTGTCTACAGGTAAACAGGATCAGTTTACTGTTATTCCAGCACTAGGCCAAACCCTCATGCAGGAGTGAGATATAATGCATGAGGTATAATGCCTTGTACCATTTTCCTGGCCTCAGGTACAGTCATGAATTGGTGCAGGTCTCTGAGTGGGAGTTCATCTTATGAGAACCTGTTTTGAGCAGGATCTAGTTGTTTCTGAGGAGCAGCTGCCACTGTGGACCTGGCCTTTGCTAATGCCTCCCTCCATTCTGACCCTACTCAATCTCCTGTGTGAGAGAAGCTGGCTGGGCCAGTGTCCATGGATCTTTAATGGGACCTTTGCTTTTCCTGGATAGATTCTGGGATGTCCCCCGCCCCCAGTACTCCTGTCCGTACTTTGCAGTTTGACAGGCTTTGAATGATGAGTTTGCCCAATGACAGCTCCCAGTGCAATCCATTGGATGAATTAATCTTTTTGTATAAAGCATTTTAGCTGAGGAAAATTGTTTCATCTTTGGAACTGTTGCAGAGTTCTGCATATCTTTTTTTTTTGTTGTTTGACCTGTTTTAAAACAAAAATCTGCAGGGAGACTCTTGCCTGATGACTAATTATTTGTTTGCTAATAATCTTTTAACTTTCTTTCATCAGCTAATTCCCTCCTGGTTAAATTTTCAAAGCCTCATCTCCTAGGATCTTCTAGAAACCCCACTATCTCTTAATTACAGTTTATCTTCGAATCCCTACAAAACAGCTGTAAAACTAACTTCTGTTGAATGTCCTGGTGTTTTGGGGTTTTTTTTAGTTTATGTATATGTGTTGATAGTTACTTCTAGATTTACTTATGATTTGAAGAGTTAGCTTCAGATCTTTTGTGAGATTTACCATCACAGTTATCTGAAGAGACAAGATAACTTACTGTAACTTCAGTAAGAGATCATTTAAGATCTTTTGAGGCCATAGTATCAGTTTCCCTTGCACTCATTTTAGAGTCACCCATGAAGCTGCTTATTTCTGTTAGATTTGAAGTTTTATCGGGAATGGAACCTTTCATACTGGTGTGGCTTTGCTAACATTGTGGTGTTGTCTCTCTGTTTTTTCCTCATTTACGTATTTATTAAATATCCTATGAATTTACATAACTACATGCCATGAATTCCAGTAGTTGCATGTCATGCATGGTCATCACTTGTAGGCAGAGCTTTTTTCTAGGGAAGTCTAAAGCTGCTTTCAAAGAAACCCAACCAAAAATGGGGCTTTTTGTGTGCTAGGTTACTTAAGGTTGATGTTTGCTGTCTCAGGCTAACATACCTAGGCACACGTTCATGTTGTGGAAAGCTTTCTTGGTATCAATCAGTTTATTGCTGTATATGGAATTAATTTCCTGCAAACAATCACTGTCTCATTATTCCTATACAGATATAAAGGATTGAGAGTAATGCATCTCTTTCAGGAGCTTAGGGATTAATACAAGCAACTCTATCAGAAATTGCTCTTTACTAAAGAGTGACCTGGCTAACCAGGAGATTCAGAAATCTCCTCCTAGCTCTCCCTCCTAGGAAATCTAGTTTCATTTTAATCTGATTTGTTTTTATCATTTATTGTTTCTGTTCTGATTTAAAACTTTATGG